AAAGAAAGAAAGAAAGAAAGAAAGAAAGAAAGAAAGAAAGAAAGAAAGAAAAAGTTGGGCAGAAGACTTGAATTCTTTATATGAAAAGTACACAATTTTATACAGAAAAAAACGTAAACTAGGGGAAACAAAATGAAGCAAATACATGAATAACACCAGCAGAGAAGGAGGAGGAGAAGCAATATCTGAAGTTTATGTTATGTATATTTAAGCAAATAATATGAGAAGTTTTGTATCTATGGGTATTTCTTCTATACCATAGTGGTCCTTTTTCAATCATGAAGTTTTTCCAATAACTCATGTTGAGATTGTAGATTATGGTAGAGAAAGCTTTACATTAATGTGTGCATGGAGAGAGAAGGATAAGAATAATGGCTTACTTGAGCTTGGAGGGCCACATGAGTGAGGCAAGAATTTGATGTATGCAATTTATTTAACAGAAAATATCAAATCAAAGTTTTTTTAAAAAAAGATTAGAAAATTGTCTAGAAAGACAACCTGAAGTAGGTTAAATAAGAAATGTTTATAAAAACAAAGGAAAATAATCCCAGTAATTGTTGCAACAATTTGGAATAATTGATAAAATATGCTTTCATTATCAGAAGTGGGTCAGAAAATATGTTAAGCCAGAATTAGTTGCTGTGCTGCCAGTAATAGAAAAGGATTGAAGCACTAACACAAGAGCAAACCATGCATAATACCAAGCTTTGCTTGGATTCTAGATAAACTGATGTGGAGCCAAAAGTTCTCAGAATAGGTCAATAACATGATGGTAAGCAACCTTAAAGTATAATGGAACAAATGCCAGAATGGTTTTAACTTGCATTTATAAAAGAGCAGAAATTTTCTTTTACAATTCTTTTTAGAAGTCTGGAACAGAACATATGTTGTAGGGAGCCTAATAAAGATAAAAAAACCAGAATGCCCCTTGCTGTACCCAAACCTTTGAATATATTTCAGAAACCCCAGGGTCAAAGCTAATACAATTGCAGCAGATTTGATTCTTTCTCAACAAATTTGATATAATTAATATCTGAAAGGGCAGAAGTTCAATTTTGCAGTCTCAATCAAGTTGGAATCTGTATATAATTCAAAGATACTGGAAAAATGAAAAATTGAGATAAATTAAATCAAAACAGTTGTATAATTATATTACAAAATTATATTGCATTTCAGGAGTGGAACTCATGGTTCCAAATTATTAACTCTGTCAGTCTGGTCCATCCACCCACCCATCCATCCACCCATCCATCCATCCATCCATCCATCCAGCCAGCCAGCCAGCCAGCCAGCCAGCCAACCAGCCAACCAGCTATCATTCATCTATGATCCATTTTTGCCTCTACTTTTATTGTTTTAATTTTTACCTGTTTGGAGTGGCTCCATTAGAGAGTCTTGCCCTGGAAAAGAAAAATTAATATAATAATAGCACAATGGCTCTAAGATTTCTGAATTCAAAACCTAGTGGTAAATCCTCCCCCCCGCACCCCACATTCTTACATTTTGCTTCGTAAGTTTTTTAAAAATCCATTTTAAGTTAATAAACAATTTTCAGGGCTTTTATTTGACACCAATGTTTCTTGTCCTTAATTCTCTGGTCACAAGATTGCAAGTCAAATAACTCTGAATTGGAAATGAAAGTCTGACAAAACAGTGCTCCCCATAGTTGCCTGAAAATTGCTCCTCTTTTTTTTTAATCAAGAATGAAAGAGATTAGCAGGTTTAAAATGAGGCATAAGCTTCTTCTAGACCATTCTGAATATGAAAGGGGAATCAAAATATGTCACAAATTCTTTGAAATATGATGATCTTCTGCAATGCACTACCAGGTACTAACCAGGCCAGATAAAAGTTATAGCAAATTGCAATTAGTATTTTTGAAGAAACCTTTTTCTACTAGAAACTGGATCTTCTATTAAAGAAAATTTGCAGGTTTTAGACTCACATAAAGAATAAAATGAATATTCTGGGAGTAAAAGGAGGATAGAGTCAAGATGAAATAGTACTGAATGGATGTGGATTGAATACAACCCTAATACAATTACAGATTTGATTCTTTCTCAACAAATTTGATATAATTAATACCTGAAAGGACAGAAGTTCAATTTCCAGAATAATAGAAGGGTTAAAAACAAACCTTCATTCCATTGTCAATATTTCCCAGTGAAAACTTTGAAGTCATGAACTTATCAGCCTTTCATTTTTGGTGGTTTTTTATTTGCAACCCTCTTATTTTTCTGTTTGATGAGTAATATAAGCAAGATCTTGCCATATTTCTAGCCCCGGTTAAATTTTCTGGGGACCATTGAATCTTCACTAATTAATATAGTCTCAAGTGGAAATGGTACAAAGGGAGAACTGGTTACAAGCAGAAGATAGCCTTTGTTTATATTATGAGCAAATATTGTCATCTTCCTTTATACTTTTCTATTTTGAGTCAGAATCAATAAAAAATTCAAAAATGTAATCTAAGCTAATTTAAAATAAACTAATCCAACCCAAGTTAAATTAAACTAATTCAACCTTTTTAATTGATCATTTTAATGATGAGCATCACATTTTATTGCAGACATTTTTATAGAAAGCATAATAGGTAGAATAAAAATCAGAATGGAGCTCTGTGAAACAACAGATATGATAAAGGAAAGCATAGTTCAATTTTGTTTCTATTTTGTAACAATTTAATTTGGTGTAAAATTTTAAGAGTCCATAGGTGTGTTTTGTAGTTCAATTTCTTTCCGTCTGACTTTATCCAATATCTTTTGCATCTTTTCCTGAGATTATTTTCTTATCTATATATAAATGAAAATGAAGTCAGCATTCTGTAAAGCTCATCTGCAGAAGGAAGCATGAAGTGCTCCAAAATCTCCTGGTAGATGGCTGCATTGACCTTGGACTTAATGAAGTACAGTGGATCAACACCAGCAGATGACATGGCTCTCCAAATCAACACAGACTGTGGAAACTTCACACTGAACTTCAAGCATCTTGCAGTGTGTGCCTCTCCATTCTTCCTCCAGACTCTGGGTCCTTGGTTTCCAAATGAGATGCAAAAGTTGCTCTCATCAGAAAAGAGGACTTTGGACTACTGAGCAACAGACCAGTTCTGTTTTTCTTTAGCCCGGATAAAATGCTTCTGACATTGTTTGTTGTTCAGGAACGGCTTGACAAGAGGAATACGACATTTGAAGCCGATGTCCAGGATCCAGGTGTGTGTG